TGGGTGAAGCCGCCGGAATGCAAGAAACTCAGTCCATCCAGCACCTGCAAAAAGCGTTTGGAGGACCCAGTTTGTCATGCAAGAGAAATGGTTGAAATGCTTGGAAAAAACTAATGCTTTGCTGCAACTGACCATCAAGAACCTCGGAAGCACGACTCGGATGAACTTAGCACATGCATTGAATATACAATATGAATTCATATAATTAATATATATATATACGATATGAATGTGAATGAATGGCATCTAGCTGCAAGACTCTGACATTTGATGAGTCACATGCCCTGGTAGGGTTTCACATGGTTTCGCCCTAAGCATCCAATCCATTCGGCCATGGCTATAGACCTGATGGGCGTACCCTCAGCAGGTTTCGCACAGGGCAATGGAACGACCCGGACAGAAGCCGTCGGTAAGATATGAAGGGAAAATATGGGTGTTGATGGGTATATTTATGTTGATTAGTACCAAATATGGGTTTATTGATGGGTGATATCAATGATATCAAGGGAAAATATGGGCTTCTTAAAAAAACCAACAACCACTAATTCACCATCTACAGGGATATCATTGATCTACATGGGGTCTTGGCTGAAATCCCGATGTCTATGACCACATTTTTTGACCCTGAACATCTTGAAACGGTTTCGAATTGCACGGCTTCTCATGCTAACCCCACCGAGCCCCATGATGCCTCCTCGGTAACAATGTAGAAACCGCCTGATATGGAAGTCCATGGCCCGTTTACTTCGATGATTTACCTTTTTCGAAAATATTTCGCCAAATCAGGGTTTTCCATTGCTTAGTTTCCGGGTGCGAGTACCTATTGAGTCAAATTTCCTTGTTTCATTGTTCTCAAAAGCTGAAAGATCTGAAAGAAACATCCAACTTATGATAGTGATATTATTTCTAGTGTGACTTGATATGATTTGATATCATATTTCCACCGGCTGTACTTGGAATTGGCAAAATACACCCCCGTTTCGCCTTCGGTCTCCAAGGTGGTGAAAGATTGCAGAACATTCGGATGCCTTGAACCACGAGAATCTGCTGGCCAAGCGGCTGAAGCTTTCGTAAATGGTGGATTGAAGACAACGATTTCAGGAATTTGAATCTAAGTTGACAAAAATGGCAATGTAATTCTATCATATTCTATCATTATCATCTCACAGCAAAGTCACAGTGCTATACACGGCACAAGTCTGGTGTTTCTGGACAGAATCATCTGTGCGCTGCCTCAAAGTTTTTGAGACTTGATCTTCATTCTTTGCAGCCACAACCTGCACATGGCAGCATCACTTTCGATTTATCACTGCTACTTTCAATCATCCTGAAGGCCTGTGTCTTGGAAATCCCTTGCGACAACATCACGCGACCGACGCGACAACGCATGTTTTGACGTGAAAACTGTGAAAGGCTGACCTCGAGACATTTTTTGGAGTCCAGTCCAGTCCTCAGGCCCCCTCCAGTGACAAGTTAGCTAAGCCTATCTGATGATATATCGCCCATACATGCTGGTTGGCCTGGTTGAACCAACTTAACTTACCCATCCTTTGGGGGGCCCTTCCAAACGTGCGTAAAAACAACAGCAGCCTTAGCTGGATCCATGTCCTTCTTTGGACACATGAAAACAGACACGGCGCTGCCATCGCTTTTCTTTTGACCTCAACGATCAGCGAAACATCACAGAATTTCAAGAGTTTACCTCAGAATGTGGGAAACACTGTGGGTTTGGAGGTCCATGATTTTGAGATATTTTGAGTCTGAATTTCAGAACATGACCATTCCACAAAGCTCAATCAAGAGTAGCAGCTCAGCAATGACAAAAGAACTGCAGCTGCCTTTGTGAAGCAACATGCATAGATTGATGATGGTTTCCTTTAAAATTGTCGTCCGTTTCTGAGCACACTCATACACAAAACTTGAGAGGGGGGGGACGAAAGGTAGGGGGGGGCAAAAGAGAGCAACAGGAAAAATATTGCCAAACTGAGATTGATACTTCTCTTCACTCAAACCTCCTGCAGAAGAAAATGTTAGCCCCCAAAAAAGCTTTGTGGGAATAGAATCAGAAACATAATGTCAAATGTAAAGTAACTTCACGCGCGCGCGCCGCGCGCGCGCGTGAACCATCCTGCATGCAGGTGCTTCTCGCGCGCGCGCGCGCGCGCGAGCGCACGCATGTGCGGGACGTAAACATTGCGAGTCTCTATTCCCCGGCACGGCCTCAATGGGACTAGAACATCCACGATAGATCGATAGATCAATACATCGATAGATAGATAGATAGATAGATAGATAGATAAAACTATAAATAAATAAATAAATAGATGAATAAATAGATAGAGAGATAGAAGCATCGATCGATAAATAGATAGATCGATGGCTACCTTGATCGATAAACAGATAGATAAATAGATAGATCAATAGGTAGATAGATAGATAGATAGATAGATAGATAGATAGATCCAAGGATAGATAGATAAATACATACATAGATGGACAACTAGATAGATAGATATATCGATAGATAGATGGATAAGGAGGTAGGTACAGAGTCAGAGAAAAAGAGAGAGAAAAAAATGCGGACCAGGGGGGAATCGAATGGGGGGGGGAGGGGGGGCCCCCCCCCCCCCAAAGTCTCCGTTCGTGACTCTCGGCTTTCAATTTCCGGGAAAGGAGCAGCCACCTCCCCCAGTACTAAACTAGTACTAAAGTACATAGAACTCAGGTAGCCTAGGCTACCTTTCGTGATATGTGGATGCCAGGGCCCTAAATTCTGAGTGTGCGAAAGACATCCAGGCAGATTATGGCATCGATTATGTTATATATATATATACACACATATATATATATATGTGGCATATTGCCAAGAAATTGCCAACGTAAGCTAATGTGTTCATATAATTCAGAAAGGCTCTGTGCAACAAACCCTTTGGTAAATTCCAAACTCTATGCAACTGCTCCATGCAACAGCCCAATGCTAAGCCAAGGGCATATGCTATCAGCACTGCAGCACCCCACATGTCAATGCCTGGCTCACTGGGCAATAGCAGCTCAGTGCTCTAGGGCCTACAACCCTTGGCTCAATCACACATTCATAAGGCGCAAAGTCTCAGTCTCCTCCAGAAGCCAAATCCAACCTCCCTGCTCCTTCTTCTATCAATGAACACTAAAAACTTAAGGGATTTAAGGGGGGAAAAAAATGATTGTTAATCATTTCAAATCATCATATTTCCCACCAAAATTCTTCGCCATTTTCACACACCCTGTCCCAAAGGGCAGGAAAGTCGAACCTGCGGTTCGCACAAATGTTGGGATATGTTTCCTTTACTCCATGATTCACCCATGTTTCATCCATGTTCATTGCGTAGAATCATCTAAGACACATTTAAAAAAAGAACAAGTCACACCCATGAACGAACACTTAAAAATCAGTTAAAGACGAAAAAAAATATGAGTTTGAATTAAAAACCATGAAAATCCAATACGAACATTGGATTCGCTGAGTCCCAAACAATCACTGGGGATTGTGGAGGAAGAAGTACTTTCAAGTGAATGCTGACCTGCCATGAGAAGAGTTGCATCTTGAGGACTTTTTGACTTTGTCCAGAGTCCAGAGCAGGTCCATTTTTTTCATCAAAGGTTTCAACCTTGCCGCTCAGCGGAGCCTGCTCGTTCTGTGCAGGAGCGAGAAAACTCGCAAGGATCCAGAACACATGGCTGCCAGAAGGCAATTGTCACCTCAATACATGGACAGTCAAACTATTGAGGTGGGTAAAATTGCGAGTTGATATCTCTTCCCCCTGGAGATGCTATGACACATATGATTTCATGTCTCAATGGCCGCAAGTCACAGTGCAATTCGTGTTTTGAACAATATCTGAAACAAATGCTAACACACCTTGGCGAAATCCGAATATTGCGCTGCTCACCAACTGCCAGCCCGCTACCCTTTGAGTTAAAATCAGAAACAATACCTGAGCCCAACGCTCGCTGCGGGCCATGCGAATCAAACGACATCTCAGGCCTAAAAGTCCATCATCACAACGGACCGGGCCAAGGACAGGCATGTTCGACGGCGACGTGCATCTCGATCTACTATCTTGCATCTATATTGCATCTATCTTGCATAGGCTTGCTAGTTTGAAGATGTTTGAAGATGTATAATTACACCATGATGTAACGACCCTATCGATGTGCAACCTAGGGTAATGACACTGGGGATGACTTTACAAGTAGGATGATCAAATGGTTTCTTTAATATGGTAATGCATTGAGAGTTTCTATGATTTCGATTGCCCTGTGCTCTTTGAATGTTCATCTTTCGAATTGCTGATCTTCTGATTCCGTTCAAATTCCATGAATGTCTGGAGGCCATGCTGGCGACGTCTACTCCTGCAAGCTTGGGCCATCAACGATCTAAGTGCGACTTTGACTGAGCTTCGGCCGCCATCACTGTGGAAGATGTTCACTGCAGGAAGGGTTCCAAACTCACTCTCTCCCAGGGGTCGGCGGCAGGGGGCGTAGCCCCTTAATAATGATAGTGCATGCTATGAAGATTTTGAGATGTGTCGGCAAAGCACAAAAGTCAACAACTGTACCAAACCTTTTGCAGCTAGCCAAAATAAGGAATGCGAGGAAGATTGCAATGCCTTCCGTCCAATAATTGCCCCATTGCCTGGTGTCTGTGCAGGTCTGTGCCAAAGTGTTCACCTGACGACAAATCCAAAACTCCAAAACAGTTCTGTTCATTTGGACCTGGTGTGCAACCTATTTTTGTGCATGCTAAACTCCAAGACTGCCCACTTCACTGCATTTCTCCCAAGCGTCAACAAACATTCCGGAAGCGAAGCAACAAACGCTGCTTCTGATCAAAAGCTATCACTGGATTCGATGTGACAGCTCCGCACTTGTTGAGCCTGCTGCATTTTCTGGACCGCCGGCCTTTGTGCAAGAATCTGATGCAAAGCAACTAACCCAACCTTACCCAACCCATCAAGGAATTACTGCCCTTTCTCTTTCTTGTTTGAAATTGCAAGCCATCCAAGCACTGGGTCGGGATGCGCAGCGAAGTACCGGCGAGCGGCCGCAGCAGCCTGGACAAATGGAGCAAATAAATGAAAAGAAAGTGAGTCACAGTGAGTCGGTTTGGAGCGTTCGATTAACAGCACCCTGTCAGCCCATTTGTGGCTCCATTTTTACATATCTTCATGCACACAGGTCTGATGCGAACCCTCTACTGATCCTCAGAAGGTGTTCTTCATGCAGCAAAGCCAAATGTGGCCAAATGTTGCACTTGGAGAGCACAAAAAGAAACAGGTCGACTTGCACTGCTTCGATAGATACAAATCTGCCATGTTCAGAGTTTTCATATTCGCTTGACCAGCTGAGTTTGCTTGACTTCTGCGACAGAAGCCATGATATACATCATCCTTCTCAATGGCCAGGCCAAACCAACGAGTTTACTTTTCAATACCTTTTCAGTATTTTCCAGTCAGGTGCTAGTGGAAATGGATGAAATGGAAAGGGTGGAAAGGGGCCTTAGCAGTAACCTCAATTGGAGGTGGGTTGCCATTCAGCAGCGCCAGCACAGCTGTCCTCAGCCATTGAGAATGAGTGACCCACCCGGAGTGCAACCACACCGTGCAAATGTTCCAGTATGTGACTGTCTCTATCTCTATGTCCAAGTGTTGAAAAGCAACTCGAGCCAATTTCCCCCAAGCAGAAAGGATGGCATCTTCGTCTACAAATATCACTCACCAGACAATTCCAAACCATCAATGCCGTTGAAGATGCTTCCCCAGAACACATGACATATCACAAGCATAAACCAAGCCACTCCATTGGGGGCACAGCGCCCTTGTGTGGCCAGAACCAAGCTTTCCTTGGGCACTCGGATACTGATCGAATTCTCTCAGTGTCCTCGAAGAGATTCTCCAGCCGAAGGCAACCAGAATCTTCACGTGCAACTGGCTCAACTGGCTGCAGTTAAGCTTCGCCTTGTCCTGCCATGACAAAAGCCCAGGCTGCAGCCAACTTGTGTCTTTCTCGGAGATGGAGTGCCTTCGGACAGTGAATGGGGAATCCAACACTTGACGCATTTCAGGATCAGGTATGGATCAGGTAGTGCCACAGATCAGGCACATCTGCCCCGTCTTCATCCCATATGCCACGTTGGCCACGTTGGCCACGTTGTATTGTGGGTATACCACAGGACCCCACCTGTTGGTGGCACTCTTCGATCGCCTGGCAGCCAGACACCGCAGACTAGCTGCCTAAGCCTAGCCTCATTAAAACCCAGTGCAATGCATCCAGAGTGGAAGAGGTTATACTATAGGCTATAGGCCATAGGTATATTATTAGTTCTATATAGTTCTATTATATACAAAGATACCACAATGCGGCTCCAACGGTCTTCACATTCTTCACATTTAGCAATGTCAAACCACTCTGCACACAATGGCGATCCGCACCTCTTTGCATCACACACTTCCCCAGGCATCCCCTGCACCATCGTGCAAGCCGGATTTCAAAATTCTGGATGAATGACTCGAATGACTCGAATGACTTCAACGCCAAGTCATCTTGCACATTGCCATAAAAGAACACGATTTCTTGTCTGTAGAGCTTCTGGAGTCTTGCCTCACATGTAGATCCAGCTCCTGGCAAAAGTGTCGAGGTGAAGCAAACGAACCCAAGGAAAACATTGAACATCATTGAACAATCCAGCCTTCAAATGACTTCAATGTAACATCATCAAATCAATATCCTAGTGTATCTTCAAATAGAGGGAAAGGCTCACAGGAGGGAGATACGGCATGGTTCGCCAAAGACTTCGACAAACAGTAAGAAGCGTCAATTCAAACCCTACAGTAAGTGTTTTTGTTCCAGGTGCCCAAATGCAACACTTGATGAAAATGAACCCACTAAGGTGCAATCTGAAATCGGCAAATATCCTCGAGTGCATGCGTCAAAATCATCGCCGCGCTTGCAAACTGTCCTTGCATACACTATGTATGATTCACGCACAACCGCACGGCCTGCTCAAAACAAGCTTTGGCCTTTCTTCCCATTCAATATCATTCAATTCTTTAAGATAGCTTTTGGGACAAAGTCCTCCTTCATGCTTTCCAAGGAACGATTTGTAGACGGCCAAGTAAGCACGCAAGACAGGGTCATCCAAATCCGGTCGTGGCATGTCCGCCTGACAGTCCAGAATTGCTGCTTTCAAGATGGTGAACAGAAGGCCAAAGCCAGATTGCGGCTCAAACGATGTAGCAACCCTCGGAAACCAGCCCTCCCTGCAGCTGCCTCAATTTCAGCGAGAGTGTTCGAAGTGTCAAATTCCAAGGTGCCATCCTTCTCAGCCTGTACAAACAATTATCCCAAAGTGTAGAATTCCTGTGCAAGTTTGCAAACAAGGATCATTCCAAAGAGAACTACAGTAGTTGAATTGAAACAATATAAAATATACAAACAGATAAGATCAATAAACTAAACAATACTACAGTATGTTCTACATTTTGCAGGATGTCCTAAACTAAACAGTAGCTGCCCCCCGGAAACCAAAAATGCCAGCTTGCAAGGCCAAAGTGTCTACTGTAGTTCCTCTCAGATTGAGAGAACACATTAAAAACAAGGCATCTAAAGGATCAGCAGACGTGTGCAACCAGGAAAAAATATGGTACATCCCAAGGGCCCAAGGAGGGACAAATCACAAGAATCAGTGGTAGGGATTACTTATTCTCGGGCATCAACAAGCTGACAACGTCCCAGCTGCTTTGTTTTCACAGCTTCAAAACACTCAAAATCACAGCCCAACCGGTGCCACGTCAGAATTTTCAGCAAAAGTCAAAACATCAAATGAATATGCCGGAGCGCAATCTCTCACATTAGAATACTATTAGTTTGCCCGATCGCGATTCATAGAGATTCACATAGGTTGCTTGATGTTCTTGATGTTGCTTGTACATTACGGCATTACGGGTCAAGAAATTGCTAAGACACATTGGCTCGCCTTGCGAGGACGTTCAGAGCTGCTTCGTCGTGACCTGGGCGAGAAAAGTTGACAGCAATTCGCTATACTTCGCAACACTTTGCTACTTTGCTAACTTCTGCCTCAGGTCCCTTGAAAATCACTTCGACTGTGTTGACTCCGTTTTTTGTGTCTCTGTTCCCAGCTGTTTGTGGCTGTTGTTCAAGGGCTGTTCCCGCAAGGCCCCGACTCATTTCGCTTCTTTCCATAGCCACGACGCGAGGATGCTCGGCCTTGGCAAAGTTCACAAAGAGTTCGCTTAGCTGCTCACAAAGGGCTTCGCAAAAGCTGCAATGTGGCTCTTTTGTCGGCTGCCGCTGCTGCTGATGATGACGATGACACTACCGATGAGAACAATGAGGATATGGTCATGATGATGATCATGATGATGGTGATGGTGGGTTATGATGATGATGATGATGATGATGATGATGATGATGATGATGATGATGATCTTCATTGTGACAGCAGTTTCACCTTAACATGTGGTACTCATCTCTGTGGTCTGGGGTTCATGGTGCATGCGGGCAGTGGCTATCATACAAGCGCATACTGTTCTGTCCCTCCTCTTTCTGCCGCCGTTGCTTTTGTTGCTATCATAGTCCTCTTCTTCTTCCTGTTCTCCTTACATCTCTTCCTTTTGTTATTCTTCTTACTCTTCTTCCATGTCTATCTTTTCCTCTCTTCCTCTTCTTCTGCTTCTAGTATTGCTTCTTCTAAATGTTCTTATTATTATTCTTTTGCATCTTCTGCTTCTGCTTCTGCTTCTGCTTCTTCTTCTTCTTCTTCTTGTTCTTCTTCTTCTTCTTCGTCTTCATCTTCGTCTTCGTCTTCCTTGTGTACAAAGTTTTTTGTCTTTGTTGTCATCAGTGCTGCGAACGCGTTTGTGCTCCTACTGCTGCCACCATGCACCATGACTCCTTTCAGGATGTGTCATGCTTCTAGGCCGTTTTTTGATTCAAGGCAAAAGTGCAGATCGGATCGTTTAGGTCTTGTACCTTTTGCAGGCTTTGGCTTCGGAGGCAATTGTGGACGGCTGAGATTGGATCCTGTGAGCAATCTGCGAAACACTCTGCCTACATGCCTACCAGCCCATGCCATTTCACACCTGCTCTTCTAAACTTTTGAGTCACCTACTCAACTCTGACTATTTCTGTTTAAAAAATCCATCAACCATGCCGGAAGAACTTAAAATTAGTTCAATCATCACCGCTTAAATATGTCAAAATATGTCAACCAGTGTCAAACAATCAGTTGACCTGGAAGGATCTTATTGGTCAACTGTTACTTCAGCAGCATTTTACGCTTGTGCAAGTCACTGTCCTGGCAATTCCTTGCTCACAACCTCGGCGTGCACATCATTTTCCGCTGTTGGGAAATAAAACAAGGCCTTTGTTCTTGGCAAGTCTTCCGGCCCCCTAGGACCCTGAGAAACTTCTCCGTCTCGACAAATGCAGTGGTTAAGTCCCATACCAAGCTATGCAAGAAGCTGCGGTTGTGCTCAGATCGCAAGTCTTCTTGCGTTTGCCGCACACGCTGGAGGTTCTCTTGGTGCCTGGGTTTTTTGAGACAGAGTCTTTACAAGGAATGAGGGTATCACTGCCGACAAACCTTTCTATCTGGTCCAACAAAAAACAGCGCCTCTTCTGCAAGAGCTCAACATCCCGCTTACGCTCCTGGAGCACTTGTGGACTATCCAACATTATCCAACTCTTTCAAGAATGGCACGTCTGCAACTTTGAGTTGGACTGACTCCCCCTGTCCTCTTCTGGATTCGTCTGGATACGGACGGGCAAATGTTTGCTTCGTTTTGCAGCTGCTTGAACATCCGCTTCAAATTGTTCCGGCGAAGGCGGTGCAGTCCAGGAATCCTCCACTGCGATGTTTGACTCGACATTCCTACTGTACTCAACAATCTCAACACAAACCTTCAAAGGCTTCCAAAGCTTCAAAGGCTTCAAAGGAACCTTCTCTGCCTGGATTCTGAGGCTTCTCATGACTGAGGCAAGAGCCCACGCAGTTGCTGACGGGGATACCTTCGACTCCTGCGGCAGCTTGCCAAAAAGTCCGACATAGACATTAGAGAACAAAGGGAGACAGTGCCAGTACCCATGGTAATCATAGTAGCGGCAGCGACACGCACAAAACGCATGGATGGCACCCCACAACACCCAGGCGCAATGGCGCAATGCAGTGGCAGCAAGTTTGAGCAGCAGGACGCATGGCACAAATGGCAGCAGGAGGCACAATCCCGTGTTCATCTTGGTCCCCACTTTGCAGGCTTTGTTGCCATGTCACACATCAGGTTGAATATTGATGCCATGAAAGATTTGCACAACCCATCAAGTGTGTACAGGAGTGTGTGGCAAGTCACCATGAGACTGTTGACAAATCAAACATCAGAAAATATCATGAGACGGATTGAGACGGATTGAGACATGTAAAGACACAGGCACAAAGATGCACAAAGATGCACAAAGTGTGTGGCAGATTGTGGCAGCACAATGGCATGACATGGCGAGATATCTTGTTGGGCCTTCGGCATCGGGCGTTTTTTCTTTGGAGCAGTTCCGGAGGGCTTCATCGGGCTCTTCCCACTCCTGAAATTTTGGTTCTTGAAAGGAGCGGCTAAACATGCTAAACAGATCTAAACAGCTATATAAACTTTTGAAACTCTTCAAGCTCAAGACAGCAAATCCAACCGGACCATCAAACGAAATGCAGCTCTGGGCAAATCACGGGGAGACGGCAGGATCTGCTTCTTCTTCCAAGATCATGCCTGTGAATGGAAGACACACGAAATCTACGACTGCATTTTTTAAAGAAATGCATTGCAAGCCTTGTCCGATGCCAAAGCAGTCTTTCATTTCCTTCTAGACTCTAGACCATAAGCAGGAAGTAATGGGCATGATGGAGCACATAGCATTTCAGTCTTTTTGGCAACGGGGCAAGACTTTTGCTCACTCAAAAGGGACCGAAATTCCCAGTCTTCCCTCTGTGTTTACTGTTGATCCATACTGTCCATGCTCATTTGATTGATGTGGCTTGTTGAAGGTTCATGGTCGAATGCGTCCATCCGTCACATGGTGCACCAAGCGTGGGTTTTGCCTTCCAAGTTCTTGATCGTGGGCTGAGTTGCAGCAGCCTGTGGCATCCAGGGAAGAGCAAAGTGTTGTGGAAAGATGATCATATGATGAGATACCAACATTTTGCAACATCCCAAAAGCATCCCAAAAGCATCAAAAGCTTTGTTGAAGGGCTGGCACTTGCGACAAATCCTGGAGTTGCTCCAACGGCTTCCAAGTCACAATTTTGCTGGCGGCTTTGACAACTGTAGAGTGCACCTCCGCCGGGCGGGCCGTTGAACTGTTGACACTTGACACATCTTGACACCAATTTCTCAACTTTTCAAGTTGCACTCGTTGCACTCAGTGCAAACAATTGCCTGCCAAGCTCCCACATGCGGGAAGAAAAGAGAAAAGTCTGACTGTTACAACAGTGATGTTGGAAAGACTTGGACGTGCATGATGCTGGACCAGATTGCATGCGGCACGCCTGGCCCCCTATTGAGTGCACCAAAATTTGGATCTTTATCTGTCAACAAAATTGAGAATCTAATTTGGACAAACAAAATCGAACAATATATTTATCTACACCAAATGGGAAGCACATAAATATACATAAATATATTATGATATATTGCTAGCCGGCTGACGCGCGACATTGCCTGGCCTGCTCAACCGCAGAGCAAGCAGACACTTCAGTGCCTCTACAGGTTCACTGCATTCAAACATCCTACTTTTCGGACTGCTTGCATTCGGAATTTGGTGCTACGAATGAAACAGGTCAGTGGCATTTGAATGCTGTTTAGTGCTGTTATATTCAAGCCTTGCCGCCGAATTGTCTCTTTGGCCTGCGCTGGACACGTCTTGCAACACCAAACAGTGTTGAAGCGAGCAGACTGGCAGACTGTGCATCGACCAGCTTCAACTTGGCTTCAACTTGAAGCCCAACTTGGCTTCAACAAGGACAAGACCTGGTCCAGATAGAGCTTCACAGCATGACGAGCACACATTGCAGCAACTTGGCGTGGATCACCTGCGCAAGACGCTTGTGCACTGCCCCGTCTCCGTAGTGATCGTAGTGTCCTTTTATCATCTTTTATCTGCCTTTATATTGTCCCCTTATCGTCCGGATGGTTGGCTTTCCGGCTTTCCCTCAGTTTGCATCGTTGCCTTGCTCCACAGCTCGTTCAAAAGCCTCCAAGCAGTGCAGTAACGATCTGCTGCTAGGGCAAAAAAGAAGCTGTTTGTTTTTCTGAGAACTTTGCTCATTCAGCCTTTTTTCCAGTTTGTACAGTCAGCCGTTTGTTGTGGCTTTCCCATGTGACAGGGACTGAAGTGACCGAAGCCATGCGAAGCCATGTGCGTAGACGCTCCAAGATTTGCGAACCTTGCTCTCATTGCGTTTCACCGCTTCCGGGAAATTTTGCTCCTTCTGGCCTGGACAGAGTGGCTCTGGATATAAATGCCATAGACTGTCACTACATGTCACTACCATATCTAGCAAGACTGTTCCCTTAACAAAGTATTTTGGACACTTTGACTTTAAATAAGGTCTATGCATTACTGTATATTTTCCGTCATCAACTCTCAATTTTGGTCTCGAGTTCACTCCATGGAAAGCGTCTCCACCTTCTGCATGGATGGACTGCTTCGCCTGTCGGAAGTATTTCGAGGTTCTGCAGAGATGTGTCTGAACGCAGACTACGCAGGATTTCTCTTTTTACAAGTTCTCCTTTTTATGCAAAGGGCGTCGAGTACTCGGGAGTAATGCCACATATCCCATCATACTGCCCTGATGTGCTGAAACTATCTGAAACTGACGTGTCAAACATGCAAGAAAAAAAACTCCATATCCACATACATACATATATATATATATATCCACCATAGTTTTGGGAATGAACGGTCCAACACAGACAGCAAGCCTTCTCCAGGAAGCGAGCAACAGCCACACGAGCACAAGCATTAGCCACTTTGCGCTCTCCTGCGCATCATGCTCCACATTGCTCCACATTGCTCCACCAATCGTCAGTGAAATCAGCTTACTATTCAGATCATTTCAGATCTATTGAGCCTCGCAAAAAGCGCTTTTGTATGCTTTTGTGACAAGCAATATGCTACATAGGCTACATCTGAAGAGCTTCTTCAAGAGAATTTCATGTGACCGGAGCTTTGGCAGAGTGATGCCGACTTATTTCCATTTCAGTGCCTTCTTTGGAAGCGGTCTCGGTAGCCTGCAAGAACGCTTCAGTCAGAGCAGCCCATTTTTAACAACAAATTCACCCTAGCTCTGTCTTTGAATCAAATAACTCGAATACAAGTCCTGGAAGTTTCTTGAAGTCCTATCGAGCATCAACTCGTTGCATTCAAAGCCGATCTCCAAAGTCATCATTGGCAAAACTCTAATGATGGACTGCCCACTGCCTTCGAAATCCACTGTCCAACCGCAATCTTTGCCGCAGCTGCAGCTTCTCGCTCAGCTCCTGGGTCTTGGACTTGTCATCCATTGTGGCGGAAGGTCTCTGGACTTCGACATGTTCATCCGAGAAAAACAACCATGCAGACCATGCGCCTTGGTTTGTACTTGCCTCTTTGCTTGCTTCTTTGGCCTCCACACTTTTCAAGATCAAAGCAACAATCTACAAGAACGGAGATAAGTGGAGGTAGGTGGAATAGCTGAGAGTATAGCTGAGAGATGCTGAGAGTATATAGCTGAGAGCAGTTGAGTAGATGTGGTAAAAACATGTGAAAACCCCGTGCCATCACGTGAGACTGTGACATTGCCTTCTCTGCAGCCTGCACCCAGCGGGCCACTGCCACACGGGCACATCCAGCAGCCAAGGCCTTCTCTTCGACTCCTTTTTTGGGAAAATATGGAAAGGAAAAACGTTGAATTAAACATGGTTTGCTAACCAGAATTTGAGAAAAGATTAGTTGTTTTCTACATATGAAATCCTAGAACGTTCTGGAAAAGAATGCCATACCAGGTATCTGAAGCCTAGTAATATGGCTTCGTGGGTACATTGAGCCACCATTGTTTTCATAGTCTCCACTTCTCCCATGTTTCATGAATTGCTCCCTCTCTCTCTCTCTACCTTTGTACGTCGTCTCAAGTGTCCTGAATCTTGTGTCTCGATCTTCTTCTCCGCCTTCTCCGCCTTCTCCGCCTCCGCCTTGGCCAAAGCCTTGGCCTAACATGCACAAGTCGCAATCGAAAACGATTTCACGGTCTCTGTTTGCTACACAATTGTATTCAAGTGTGAGGTTTCCTCTCATCAAAACTGAACTGACGTTTCATACAGGGCTGTACCGACCTTCATCACGTAGCCCTTCACGGCTTCGTGTGCGCAAGCAGCAGCGACCTCCCGCGCTGAACCTGAAAGCTTGCAAAATTCTCAAGTCCGATCTTATCTGTACTCATTCAGCACAACTCTACTGATTGATCACAATTTTCTCAGCTATGACTGGGCTATGACTCTTGCAAGAGCGAAATCATGCTGACTTGTTCGCTTCATCCATATTCGCGCTAATCTTTGTCCGTTGCCTTCGATGGTCTTCTGAGTCAGTGCCTGCCAAACACAATCCCAGTCCCAGTTCGGATAAACCAAATCTGTTGGGTTCTGTGAAGGTGCAAATCGAATTGGTTCAATCGAATTGGTTCGGTACATTTGTTTCACTTTGTTTCCATGGTGTTGGGACCCAGGTGACTTGAGAAGCGCCTTCGCGACAAGTCTGTTAACATATTGACGCGCAGCATCTTCAGCAGGTCGTCTTCCCGTGACTACCTGCAATCAGTTCAGGTGTCGAAAAGACTATCCTAGACTTGCTACGGTTTGAGAGCTCCATGTTTTGCAGTATGTTGCAACCAAAGGACCCTTGTCAACAAATTGTCCACATAAGAGGACACAGCAGCATCTTTTGGCGCCATGGCAGCAGTAACTAAACGATGACTTTTCTTTCAATGTCCCAACACCTGACTGATCCTGAATGACAAGGCGTTTCAATTTTCTGGAATCCATCTAAATTTGACATGTTCGCACGGTTGCATCGCATTTTCGCACTCAGAGATCACTCTGAAGCCAGCTGTGAAAAAAAATGCGGCGGATTCTTACGTACCATAACAGTTGAAAACGAATGAAAACGTGAATTGAGAAACGCAACGTGCCAATGTGTTGTGTAGAAGACCCACAAACATTGTAGTGATTGCAGCTTCCAGAGCTGGATTATCTCAAGAAGGCTTGATTCTTGGGTATGTTGGATATGTTAGATAGGTTGGATAAGATATGCTGGGTCTGGTTTCAGAAGACTTTGCTAAGCACATCGAGCAATTGAACAATCAACGTCCTGGCGATGAATCTGTTGCTGGACCTTGTGGCAGCTGGGAAGCACAGTTGGGGTGGACACCAAAACAGAAATTCCAAATCCTTCATGTCCGTAGATGTCCCTCAAACTCATTGCAATAAATTGTACTGTAACTTACTGCAATATCTTCGATCAGGATTTACAAGTTCCACAGGCCTTGTACTCATCGAACTCGGCTTTGGCAGCCCATGTCTCCTCCCTCGATTGTTTTAGGGCCTCAGCACATCTCAGCACTAACCCTTGATGGAACCACAGCAAATGCAGGAATACACTGCATACACGTTGAGCCGCTTTGATTGTAATTGACATCAACTCACTACGTTCAATCGACGCAAATGCATGTAAATGCATCCAAATCATCCCAACACTCAGCATGACAGTGGCAGCCGCGGGCCGCATTCATTTTGCTCATTTCTTTCTACAAAGGCGTGGCCGATACTTGGCAGTCAGGGTGCAACCCGCGCCATGTCTTACCTGACAAAGTGATGCAAATATACAAGAAATGGCTAGCTGAAGCTGATGGCTCAAAACGTCTCGTTCCTTGCTTGCAAGACACAGAAATCCCTGAAGGCTTTTCTTGCTTGCGGACTTTGCCTGGTTTCAGCCACCGAGTACCAATAAATGTTCATCCATTCCGCAGGAATTTACGAAGTTATACGAAGTTGCAGATAAAGAAATGGTTCTCTATGCACTTGACAGACTTGATAGAGCACAAAGATCGCAAAGATTCAAACACCAGCTGTTCTAAGCTTCCAAACCACAAGATTTGACTCGGAGAGGGCTTGCCTCCAAGCTCAAAGCGAAGCTCCACACGCACACTGTCAATTCATTCAGTGCATATCACAAAATTCAACATAGGTGACTTGGGTGGCGGTAATTGAGCAACTGATTCAACCGATTCCAAATTTGGCCATGTTTGGCCTGTGGCTCAGGAGAGCAGCTGCAGCTTGAAAGATGCACGCTGTTGGACCCGAAGTCAGAATTCCCGCCTTGCGAATCTGAAGCAAACACTCCAAGGTGCAAACTTAAGCAACTTATGCAGAATGAGCACAACAACTTACACGTAATGAGCACAACAAATACAAATCAACTCCCTCATCGATTGTGTCAGAAAAGGCAAAGCATATCGTTAAGACTCCGACATATCCTAGGCCAGAAAGCAAGTTCTCGTCTGCATCCTTCTCTGCATTGACATCCTTTCAGACAGAGCTGTAATAGCAAAACCAAACAAAGACTTTTGTGCCCTCTCCTTTGAGCAGTTTTAAATCGCAGTGCTCTTTAAAGATCTTTTACACTTTGGAGTAATTGTAATCCAATTTGTATCCGGATTTTTTGTGCTATGAGTGTCATACAGCAAGAAGCCACGCTGCCGACCTCACGATAAAGAGGTCCGCATGGCCTCTCAATGCCTTTCCCATCAAAGCATCGAATCACCTCGACGCTCTTACCTTTGCAAAGCAAGACGTGTTCAGTGCAGAGAAAGAGGCAATGACTGAGTCCATTCGTTCACACCCGCGCAGACCCACGCCTTTCCTACCCAGAGTGACTTAGAATACGAACTTGCGAAAGACTCGCTCTCATCGTGCAACAAAGCCTGTAAAGTCATGTTGTGCTATGTAGGCACGCCATGCTGTGTACATTTGTTCACTGACAAAGCTCCTCAATTCGGACAAGCTGCCTTTGCCAATAACCTGAAAGCATGAAATTCAATCAAGTCGACAGACCTTTTCTGTATTCTGCATTTTGCATGGTTGTTCTATGGTACAAAACCGCACACTTTTTGAACGCGACATTACATGTGGCAGAAGGTGAAATGCCACCAGCCCAACCCCACGGCAAGTACCTTTTCGAAGTGGTTGGAAGGATGTCGAGTCCTTGCATCAAATTTCATTTTCAAATTTCAAATCTCAAATCTCACCAGCCCTGCTCCAATGATGAATCAGCTGGAATATTCGTCAGCTTTCTCCACCACTGGGCGGGTGGGAGTGGACAAAAGACCACATGATGGCAGGGTGGCTGGTCAGCTTGAGCCAAAATGGCAGACCAGCCACCTGCTTCTGTCCCACAGAAAACCTGCCGTTTTCTTTCACGACATTACATGTGGCAGAAGGTGAAATGCCACCAGCCCAACCCCACGGCAAGTACCTTTTCGAAGTGGTTGGAAGGATGTCGAGTCCTTGCATCAAATTTCATTTTCAAATTTCAAATCTCAAATCTCACCAGCCCTGCTCCAATGATGAATCAGCTGGAATATTCGTCAGCTTTCTCCACCTCCTTGCACTGGCGCTGACGGTCTGCATTTAATGCAAGAAACCTTCGACACATCTCCGTCGGTGAACTCATAGTTCGAAGCGTGGTAATACCAACTGCACTTTGTCCTCCAGGTGATAGGTGGTGCGTACACCAGCGTGACTGCATTCGCATGTATCACCTGTTGTCTCACCGACTTGACCATCTTGGGTAAATATTTCGAAGACTGAGTCACTTGGTCTTCGACATCCTTGATTGCGTTTTCCAACGCTACATGTGACCCCAAGGTGTGTCCCTTGAATGTTTCCAATTCCTCTTTCAGCTTCTGCACTACTACGGCATCTGCCTTCGTCACCAAGAGCTGTTGGTTGTCGTTGCACTGAGCGTTTCCTTTGATCAGCTGTTGGGCCATCTGTAGTTGGGCTCCGCTGACACCGAAACATTGTGTGTTGTTCACCGCCATGGATTCCAGTGCTTCCTGTGCGTACTCCATTATGATGTTGCTCTTCCAACGGCCCAGGTATCCTACTTGTGACACCGCCCATCCTTTCCTGATGTATTGCAAGGCACCGCTTCTTCGAGTTGAGTGGCCTGTGACGTCCTTGCCGTAGAGTTTCCTCCAATCGTGGACGATGTCGGCTTTGGTGGCCAGGCGCCCCTTCTTGCCCATCGCGATGGCCCCCATCGGAGTACCCCTCAGTGTCGCGTGGTTCACTAATGTCTCCAACACTGCGTAGGGGCACTTCAGGTCGCAGCCATTCTCACACAAGCACTGAAGTGTGCGTGAGATGCCGATGCCTTCGGTATCCTTCTTGGATTCTCTCCAAAGGATGGTGACCATTCGATTTGCACAGTCGAATCTGATGTCCTCCGTGCGCAAGTTCGAGAGTTCAATCTCCCGCATCATCCAATGAACGCCGCAAGCGAACAGCAATGCTGAATGCAGAACCTTCAGGCCGGCCACGGAAGGGTCCTCCAGCAACGAATGGTCGGTCCATGTTCCTTCGGGTACTTCTGCTGCTTTCTTTCGAGGTCCTGTTCCTCGTTTGGCGGCTGCCATGCAAAGCTTGAAATGACGATCCAACAGACTCGTCCAGTGATGTCCGGCCTCCACATGTTCGAGCTTGGCTTCGATGAGATAGGAGTGCGCCGATTTGTAGCCCGATTCGCGTAGAGTGCCAGCAAGCAGTTTTAGTGAAAATGGTGTCAACGGGAGACCCTCGTTACCTGCACGAAGTATTTGTTTGATGGTGTTGCGCTTTGACGCACGTGCTGCTCTTGAGGAGTTTGCACAAAAGTCCCTCTCCACCCTTGCTACAATGCCAGCCAGGGCGCATTTCGCTTTTGCGAGCTTCACCGCCGACCTTCTGTTGGGCTTGGGTAGCTTCGCACCAGATGACCTCTTTGGAAGGTCTTTCCTAACTTTGGCCAACGTGCTCTTAGGTTTGATAGACCCCTGAGACTGATCCGTAACCTTCGTGTGCATGTCGAAAGGCAAAATGCCTGTTGTAGGCGTTTCCACAGGCGGCAGTTCATAAGAGGGCATAGCTAGTGCTCTGAAGTTGCGCCCCAGTTCGGCTAGGCGTAGTTTCTTCACAGGTGAAGCTAACAATTCCCTCCACCAAGGCCCTTTGTGTTGTGCGCCTTCTGGAACGCTCGAGGGAGGATCTGGCGGGAACTTGTTCATCGATTCGGGGCTACCTTCACTCTTCCCGGACTGAGATTTGGGAGAGGTGATGTCCCACCTATCCTTCGTGCCATAGAGCTCTGTTGACGTGAGTGATTCCTCTTTGTCAAAGGGGTCATTGGGTCCATCGACTGAGGTGTTGTCGGCTAATCCAGCACTAGCCAGCAGTCGCCTCCCCTCAGATGATGATCTCTCCACACTTGATCCCTCCTTGTGATAAACGTCGCCAAAGACACGCCTTCCTTGGGGTACCGCGACATTGGGAGGGTCCCGGAGTAAGCGGAAGAGGCACCCTTCTGCTTGAGGTGCTGCTGTTTGGGTGCTGTCTCGGTTGCGGAACAGCAAAGGCACCAAGCTACTATGCCCCAGCTCGCCAGCAGAAGGGTGAGCAGTGCCACGTAGCCCCATGTCGAAGGATACCATGGCACAGCAGAGAGTGCTGGTGGCCCAGCAGGCACGTAAGGGACAATGCCTGAATCTGTCATTCTGCAAAATGGCTACGGGTGAATTGAACCCAATTTCCAGATGATCCAAACTGCATGAAGTGACCTTACCTTGCATGACGTGACCTCACTGCAGCCTTTTCCTGTCCTTCGGATGTGTCAGTGCAGCGAGGCCCAAGCGTTGTTGGCCGCTGTACTTGGACGCCACAAATCCGGGGCCAACTGCGGCGGTGCCAAGTGGTAAAACTCAGGTCCCCGAACTTGCAACTCATTGTGTATGGGGATTCCCTTGAGTTCCACTGGCATTTCATCCTTCGCAATCTTGTCTGGCCTGCTGAGCCAGTCCGCCGACGTATTGGCCGACCCTGGAATGTGGGACGTCCTGAGACCTTCAATGCCGATCTCTTCGCATACCAGGGCTATCTCGGCGCCAAGAAAGTTCAGCGTCGATGTAGAGCTCGACAGACGCTTCGCTGTAGCCAAGGCCACCAAGCTGTCGCTTTGCACTTGAAGCTCCACGTGGCAGGACTGCAGTTCTTTCGCCCAATGTTTGAGGGCCAGCAACACCGATAACGTCTCTGCAATCCCTTGAGAGGCTGCCTGTTCCCAGCTGTCTTCGAATCCTAGGAGCCTGGCATCTCTGTGCGTCACTTTGGTGGTGTATGCCTTCGTGATGCGGTTGTTGATAAGCAAAATTGCGCCCGCACCCAAAGGCGACGCGTCTGTGACGATTGTGGCCTTCGGGTACTTCATGGTGTCAAGCTTGAGGCGCCTCGTGGGTTTTGTCATCGCCACCTCCAAGTATTTGATCAGCCACACTCGCGGTTGTTCCAATTGCTTGACCACGAAGAGGCCTCCTTTGGCTCTGTCATCCCTGCGATGCTGGCGACGTTCTTCTTCTTTGCCTGATGCTATGTCGTTCAGCCTCTCGTGCAACACTCTGTAAAATACGGCGACCACCCATCGCGTACGTGGCAAAATCCCTGAAACCCAGGAGGTGCGGCCTGCGACCTGTCTCAACTCCTTTATCGGCGCCATGCCAGCATTTGCCCAAGATTTGAGGACTTGCAGCAGGTCCGACATGAGTTTGTCAGGCAGACCCAAGATGATGGCGTCCTCGTTGAGTGTGAATCTGACGCCCACCCATTGCACTCGAGATGATCTCAGGCCTTTCTTCAGGGAAACCTTCAGGCCCAAGGCGAAGAGTGTCGTGATGACCATTGCCAGTATGCTGTTTCTCTCCTTCAGCGTCCCTTGAAGGATCCACAAACCGTCGTCCAAATATGTCTGGTGCTGGGCTTTGTTGCCTTGGACCAGCGACTGAAGGAGTCTTGAGACGAGTGCTGCCACTCGAGACCACAACAATGGTGCAGTTTTGAAGCCGAAGAGGAGGGCGACAAATAGATGGAAACCTTCGCCATCTACGTGAGGTGCAAGGGTGTGTGGCAGTTCAGCTTCGTGAACTGCCAAGGACAGAAGGCGTCCGAGATGTCCACCACTACCAGCTCACGTGTGTAGCCTTCATCGCTTCCGCATCCTCTGCGTTGGTTGTACACATCCCTCATCATGGCAACTGCATCACGTGGTCTCGGTAACACCAACTTCTCTGGTAGCACTGCTTTGCGATTGCCCCCAGACCGGCGCAAATCCAAAATGATGCGCCTTTTGACTCCCTCGGGCTTCTGCTTCACAATAAGGCCCAAACGGCTGATGGTCCCGTGAGACATTTCCTTCTGCACCGTCTCCTTGTCGACGTCAACCATGAAGCCTTCTGCTTTGTACCGGTTCAGCTCGATGCGGGCGTCTTCCAAGTTTTCCAGGACGGAGGTGTAATTGAGTATTTCTCCGTGGCTCATCTGGGCTTCGGCGTCCTCCAACTCATGGTTGCCGTGGTAGTCCAAGTTCGAGCCTTCAACATTCTTCGGGAATATGCCCTTGACCGGTATGGGCATTTCTATGCCCAGAGGGGCCCCGTTTCTCACCCAATTCGGCACAGCATCGTCTGGATCAGCTCCTTTCGGGACCCAGGCTTCCAGCAGTTCTGGGTCCAGGGGCGACACATACTTCCACCTTGGTTTGATCTTGACTGCAGGCGGCGCTTGAGCTCCTAGCACTTTGCGTAGAGCTGCTTTCCACTCCCTCACAAGGTGGTCTTTCATCTCGCAGTCAGGCGTTCCGTATTTCTCTGAAACTTCATGTGCATCTTTGTGCCTCCTCTCCAGCGTTTCCCATGCCGCCCTGATTCGCAGTCCCAGAGACAGTAGCGTGGCCCTGGGCAAGACTACCTTGTATGGGTCCTTCATGCCTCCCACGAATTCCAGCAGAGAAGGATCCGCTTCTTTCGAGGTGCTTGGCCTGAGCGCTTCGTGTTTTCCTTCTCCACCTTGCCAATACGCTTCGGGGGTGTTCAGCGCGTCCTTGGCTGGCTTGAGTTTGACCTCGGGAGGAGTCATGTTCCTTTTCCTTCTTTTGAGAGGTGGCCTTGCTTGGCTTTTGGGCCTCTCATGCATCGTTGCTGCTTTGTATTCACGTCTTGTAGGAGGGCTAAGGGAAGGATAATGGACTCTTCTCCTAGACCTCGATCTGGCTTCTTTCGCCTTCGTCTTCTTCTCGTCTTGGACGTGCGCGTCGGGGCCAAATGGTTCATCCCTTTTCACAATCCGAGCCTTCGCCACGTCGATGGTGTTCTGCAGCGATGCCATACGGGATCTTAAGAACTCCTCCTTGCCCATCAATTTCAAATGTTCCACAGCAAGTCTTGCGTAAGCTTCACACAAGGCCTTGGGGTATGTCGCCGAGGCTTTGGATTTTGCAGGGCCCGTGATCGAATCATGGTTGCCCGGTTCCCCGCAAGTGCATTCGAGTGACAGGCATTGCATGCCCCTCAACGTGCCTTCGAACTGCTGAGGCTTGAAGTGGCGTTTTCCAAGTTCAAGATCTTCTTCATACCGGCAGGTGTTGAAGATCACTCCCTGGCTCGGTCTGACTCTTCTGAACTTCTCCATCTCCGGCAACTCCCAAGCTGACAGGTGTTCAGGCTCATTTGATGGCGGGGGGTTTTCAAGAGTTGCTATTGCACCCACGCTTGACACTCGTTTTGATTCCCCCACTGCTGTGGCCATGTCTATGGCTCTGCATGCCATGACGGTGCCCCGGTCGCACTCAGCTTGGGCAGCAGGATTGTTGGTGAGCCGTCCATAAGGCTCGAACTTCGTCCGAACTGGCCCCGGTAAACCTTCCCTTCGCCGGAACCTCAAACGGGAAAATGTAGAACATGGAAATCCTGCATGAAATGCATCGACATAGCCCCGCTTCGCCCACCTCAAGTGGGTATTGTACGGTTCATCGGCTAGGAGATCTCCAGTGCCGCTTTCCTTCTCTACGCTGTAGGCTTTGAGCCTGATGCCCTGCTTGAGGGATTCGTTCCTCATGGCTGTTGTGAGTGGGTCTGCAGGGCCCGCGAAGTGATGGATGAAGATGAAGACCCTCTTCTGATAATATTCTTCCAATGTCTGTGACATCAATGGGTCCTTTTCATCAGGATCCTCCTGGCCTTCGTCACCGTCTTCAGCTTCACCTTCGTCTGTCTCGTAGGTGTAGGTGTACTCTGCTGAGGACTCCGCTTCTGGCTTGGGCTCGGGCTTCTCAGATTTTGCACCTGTGCCTTCGTGTTGTTGACCTTCTCCACAAACTTTCACTGATCCTTGTTCTTCGGGCACTCCCTGCTTGGATGGCCCGGTGAATCGCATATGGTGCATTTGTGTAGACGTTGAATCCGAGCTTGACACTTCTGTCCAGGGGCGAGTGCACCACAGACTCCATTGCCATTGTTCCAAGAATAGCATTTCTGGCCGCTGCTGCCTTTGCTTCCTTTTCCCTTTCCTTTTTCTGGATTTGCTCCTTTTGAAGGCCTTGAATCTTCTCCAGCGCCTTGATCGTTCCTCCACTTGCGTTTTCTCCTCCTTGATGGCTCTGTTGAGCCCTGTGCCTTCGTGTTGTTGTTGTAGGACTCCACGACAGGTGTGATGGCGCTGAGACCTCCCTGCATGTGCCCTGAGGCGAGTTGTTCCGCTGGAGTGCGGGGCATGCCATGTGATCCTGCCGCAATCCATGTTAGGGCTGGAGATACCACCTGTGTCTGCCAGAATCCTTCGTCCCGTGCTAGAGCTCCATATATGTAATCCCATGGGCGATTGAGGGCAAATCCATCGGGTTGTTGTTGCCCTGCCTTGATTTCCATGACCAGCTTCGACCTCAGTCTGTTCGCCTGAGCCGACCTTGCAACTTCGTCCGCGCTGTATATCAAATGCCAGCACGTGGGATAGTTTCTTGCCAATCTTTCGATTGTGGCTTCGTAGGCTTGTAGTGCTGCTAAGCCCACTGCGTCCAGCATCAACAGAGACGTTTTCAAAAGTCTGTAGCACGTTCGCCACTGGTTGAAGTTTGCTGGACCTGGTAGTTCCTTCGTCACGTACCCGCTGGATGTAAGGACGAATGTGCGGAACTTCGATGCTTTTAATGCCCTTTGACCAAATGGGACATAGATCGCGAAGTCCACGAATGGGGCTGTGTCCTGCTTCTCGATGCGTTTCTGCAACGCCGACAATTGTTCCAACGTCGGGTCCTCCTCTTCCGGCGGATAGCCCCCCACCACTTGGACGTACCTTTGGTACCACTTGGCTCTCATCTCCTCCGTCTGCACCGTAAAGTCCCCATCGTCCATCTGGTCCAAGATCTGTGTCATTTTCATTTTCCTTTCGTTGCTGTCTGACGCGTCCTTCGTCACCGCAGGCTCCACCGTGATGCGTTGATCTCCAAATGGGGATGATTCTACCCAAGCATCCCAATCCCCACCGCTTCGGGTGTGTTGTATGCGCCTGGATAAATTGTAGACTAATCCCACATGGGAGGCCTGCACTGCGCTCAAATAGCTCCCGTCCGGCAACTGACTGCGCTCCAGCGCTGCCGAAACAATGCTTGGAGGTAGGACAGCCAAAAGTCGCATATCGTCCATCGGGTCCCCCGCAATCTGCACGAACGCGTTCCACACGTTGTCCGGCAAATTGTAGTGCTGGCGAAGGGCCCCAATCGATTGCATCCTCATGGCATCGGACTGGACGGGATACATTGCAGCTGACCGCGCACCCAAAGAAAAGTGTCACAAAAGACCACATGATGGCAGGGTGGCTGGTCAGCTTGAGCCAAAATGGCAGACCAGCCACCTGCTTCTGTCCCACAGAAAACCTGCCGTTTTCTTTCACAAATAGGTCCCTAGGTGTACGATATCATACGGTGTATCTGTGTATTTCCATGTATTTCCTCGCTCTTGCACTGAACTCCGTTGCTCATCGTTGCTCCAGGTCACTGAGTGATCAGTCTGCACTGTGACGTTATCTGTGCCCTCCAGCCCTTGGCGTCTCCATGGTGGCGGCGGGACACCTCGCTGTGAGACAGTCCCAAGATTGAACGAAGCCGATTGTCCCAGTGCAATTCTCCAATGACAAAGCCATAAAGATCATAAAGGGGAGTTGCTCAGAGATAGACCTTCTATCGGATATGGAGGGCCGTTGCCATAGTCTCCTGACCTGAAGTGCCGAATTCCGTTATGTCCTTGTCACACTGCTGGCAGAACCGAAAAAGTATTAGTCAAACTTCCCAACAAGGGTCATGGAGATGTCATTGAGATATCATGGTATCATGTATAATTTGAACAGAATGAGTTGACTCAATTGGTGTAATTTGTTTGTCACCGCACAATTCAATGAAGTCCCGATGCGGAAGTGCTGTCCAGGGGCTGCATCAGCTGGTGGGCGATCTGATCAGCAATGTGAAATTGATACGCTTGGACTAAGGATAGACACGATACAAACGACGCCAACAAATACGAACAAAATATCGATCTATAATACATGTATATACTAGTGTGTACATATATATATATATATGTGTGAATTATGTGTATGTGTATATATATACATAGATAGATGATTATATATGAATTTATTTGTATGTATGCCTATAATAAATGTCTTGACTTATCGTGATCCCGCCTCAGCTGGAGTCGGCACTCGCTCCTCAGGGGGCAGCTCAGAGCCTCTGCCATCGTCATAGAAGTCCTTCCTTTTTTGGAAGATCTCCTTCAGGAAATTTCAGGAACAAGCCAAACGTTGCGCTGCAAATCCAAACAAAACGCGCAAACTTCCACCCTGCCAACACAGTCACACAATATCACACAAATACAAGCAGTTTCAAACTCTCTTGTATAGCGTTCATCTACATTAAGTTGTCATTCAGACAAGGTTGCCTTTGCCGCTGCTGCACGATCGCGTTCAAACCTGTTGATGCATTGGACATCGTCTAGATTCATCAAGCATCAAAGCAACATTTGAGAAGGACTATGATTCTGTCACTTGCTTAAGAATCAAAGCACTCTCACGACTCTCACCTTTAAGTCTCAACTTAGGCCTCAGGCGTTCGATCCATCGATTTGAGAGAACCAAGAACAGCATCTCTGGGTTCTTCTGCATCAGCTTGTTCCTGGCGATGATCACACAATTCAGGAACAGTCTGCAGGACAAAACATGACAAACCATCCTCTCACGACACGAACTCAAGAAGAGTGGACTGACAGGGCCAAAGTTTTGGCACGATTTCAAAGTCAAGGAAGGCTCTAGGAAGTCTCCTTGGTGATTGAAGCCACCTCCACAAATGTTGAGCGCAATGCACCAACGCTGCGGCCTGAAACAGAATGTCAAAAGCACTCTCGTGAAAAGCCTCTTGCCGAAACATCATTTCGGCTTTAAATACAAAGTATTTTGTACCCAACTCTCAAAGTGCGTTGAATTTTCGGAACAGTTGCTGACCTTTGCAGCGCAAGCAAGTTCTGACTCAAACAGGTATGACAGAGAGGAGGCGAAAGTAGTTGTGTTGCAACTTCAACAAGGAATGTTTCCACCGTGTTCAAAGTATAATGGAATGTCGCCCAATTCACGAATGATGCCAAGGCACCCGTGCTGGGAGGCACTGTGATCCATTCTGGGCACAAGTTGGGCATTACAGTACGCTGTGATCCCTTGATTCCAGTGTGCATTTGGCGATGAAATTGATGAAATACTAGTGCAGCAGTTGCACAAGATATATCTGCATCCATATTGAGGCGTCAAGCATGCTACTGAGTTCGACTGTGTACTCCGCTGTATATCTTTTAAAGAAAAGACTTCAGTGTCTCATGCTAGTTGTGTGCAGTGTCAAACTGTTCATGACCAAGACATCGCGGATGTGCTGGAACGGCACCAGGGCACCACAAATCGTTGTGTTTCAGTCACACCAAACACTGACATTGCCTAATGTTCTTGGAGCCATCGTCGGTCACTTCCATTTTCCGTGTTCTTTCTTCAAAAGTCAAGCCGAACCATTAAATTCGAAATGGCCTTCAATGAAGAGGAACATCCTCTACCCTCCAACTTCTTGTTGAGTGGAGTTTGTTTAAAATGTCTGCGTGGAACAAGGAAACAAGCGTGGAAGTCAAAGTGCGCTCCACGAAGATGCTGCAACCTCATTGCAGAGGTCTTCTGTGCGGAGCGCTTGCAGCCTGGACAGGCCCTGGTTTGGCATGGGCTGATCGAAGCTGATCGAGGCTAATCGAGGCTATGGAAAAGTTTGCCCGGATCAAAGCCAGGCACAAAGACACCATTGCAGAGCTTAATTTTTGGCACAACTGCAATGCCAATGCCAGTTTCGCATCTGCCTTTCTCACAAATGCGCCCGGTTTGGTATGCTCTGTGCTAGGTAGGCATCCTTAGATCCAGTGTGGATCAAGCCCTTGAGCTACGGGCCAACATATGAACCACCATTGCACAGTCCAATATGAATCACTATGCAGCCAAAATCCACGTGGTGCTGTGAAGCGTCAACCACCCTCGCCTCAGATCTTTCAAAATGCAACAATGTCACTGAGATCACTACGCAATTTTGTCAAAACCATGGTGCCGGCGCCTCTACGGGGCCGTGCGTTTGTGAGTGTTTCGGATTCATGGCGCTTTTAAGAATCGCAACAAATGGTGGCTTTGAAGGATTTCATGTTTTTTGGGCCACTTTCGATAAAGGCATGCCCTTCTGTCTGCAACGGCGTCAACGCGTAGTAGTAGTGGTATTGGAGCAGCCTGGGCTGCATTATGCCATGAGCATTGGTTGGATCCAATGACGTTGGCTTGCAGCTTGCAATTATTCCGTAGGTTTGTACCTTGTTTGATTCTGCAGTTTTGGCGCAGATGTTTTTCACCGGTTGGTCGGGAGGTCACTCAGCCCACGAATGGCTCAGGGTGACCTCCCTTCCAAAGTAGGGATCCCAGCGAATCTCTTCGCCCGGCAACCCACCTCAAGGATCTCGCACTCAGCCTCTTCTGCCTTCCGTGGATGTTTGCGGGAAACATCCGCAACTTCAATTTCTGTGTGCAAACGAATTTCGAAGGTTTAGTAGCTTGAAAAGTCAATTGCAAACCACTTGCAGGGTATACAAGTAGTACCCGGGCAAACCGGGGGCGGAAGTTTCAGACTGTGCCTACAGGGTGCGGGCAAGCCTTCCGCGCATCGCATCAACAATCTGTTGACGTGTCATTTCATGTTATTTCATCTGAGCCAATCTCTTCTCATTTCATCTCATCCCGTGCCAGGTGAACATGAATTTGTCTCTGATGCCTATCCATGGGATCTGAGGAAGATCGACGCGATCAAGGAAGCGAGTTTGAGCCTAGGGACTTTATCAAGCATGGTCCTGAAACAATGACCTGACAGAATTGAGACCAAAAGCGCAAAAACTTAGGGTTGGTCAGTGGTGGTGGCAGTCCAGGTGAGCCTTATTTTTTTAGCTGACCTTTCATCAAAATCTGCGAAAAAATGCTGTTCAACTCTTTGACACTGAAGCCTGCCATGGAATACACTTGAATTAGTTGTTCAAAGCCTTGATGGACACGATGTAGTGGGAAGGCGCCCTTGACCACAATGTGGCATCGAGAGCGGGACTCGCCCAAGAGAACTTTTGGTGGCGATGCTGAAAACGGAGAAAGAATCTGTGACATGTTGGTGGGTCCAACGCAGATCAGCTCGAAGGGTTGTGTCTCGAGCATGAACCCCAGGAATTCTTGATCTGATGCAGTTTCCATAATGATTGGCTTGCCATAGAATCCTTCGTCCAGGAGAGTTTCATATGGTGGGAGATCGTGAAGTCGTTTGTCTCCAATAATCAATCGGTTATCCAGTTATCCACATAGCGGATGTGTCTGACAAAAAGGTTGTGGTTTTTTAGCATCTCTTTCGAGTTTATCGACAAAATTTGCTCGCTGGTGGATACCACCATGAGGCATAGTGCCGGAGATAGCGGGCTTCCCATTGGACTGGCCCGTAGCACCAAGAGCAAACGTTTGCATTTCCAGAGACGTGGTGATTAAATCAGGGACGAACTTGGGCTCAACTTGAGCCAACTGGGGCCAAACTTGGGCACGTCTGGACGCAAGTTGAGCTTAACATGCACAACTTGGTCCTGTGTGGGGGCATCTGGCGCCGAAGTTGGGCCCAAGAGAGGCCCGATGTGGGCAACATGGCCTTGCACGAACCCCATCAAAGCCAAAACACGTTGGAAATAGCGGTAAAAATGCAAGTTTTCAGTGTGTCGCATTGAGTCCGCAAAATTGGCCGGGTTGGGCCCAAGCTGGCCCAAGTTGCGCTGTCTATGCTTTTTCTAATTGCTTCAGGTTGGGGTGTTTTATTTTTTGTGGGGTGGGTTGGGGCAGTAACGACGTAGCACTTGCAAACATAATGTGATGTTATGTCATAAGGACTTCTTTATTGCACTTCCTCATCCTCTGCATGCTACGTTATTCGAGTCGCTTGGCGACGAGAACCGCCCGCACCCAGAGAATTGGATAGACAAGAAAGGACCGGGCCTACTTGGCCCAACCAAAGCCGACTGGGGTCAAGAGTACACGAACGCACGGCCCCTTACAGGCGCTGCTACCAAAAACACAGCCAAAGTAACTTTTCGATGACTCTGCCGAGCGTCTCCAATCATCACTCCTGCACTGGCTGTTCCCAAGCAAGCTGCCCAGGAAGGCAAGGCCAAGCCTGACCAGATCGAGTGTTGTTTGGGAGCGTCAGTTTGAACTGTATCCATTTTGCACGCTTAAGAAAAAGTTTACTCGACTTTCCCAGCTCAGCTGTGGATCTACAAGCAAACGAGCACGCAAAAAAATATCACGCCCTGGCCCAAGTGGACAGGAACGCAAGCTGCAAGTCACCATATATATATATATATACACACATACATACGTACATAGGTAAATTCTAAGCATGTATAAGCGCTACCCAAAGCACCCAGCAAGTCTGCGCTTCGAAATGGGCAGTCAAATGGGGACTCCTCAGAAGAGTGCAAGTTTTTGTAATCTCATCTGAAGACATTCACGCTGCAAAGAACTTGCTTGTGGCCGCAGCAACACTTCGACCACTACGCTCCCTGTTCCTTTAACTGATTATGACATGAATGGGAACTCACGCTGCTGCAAGTACAGGCATTTAGCTCTGTGGTGGAAGGCGTGGCAAGCAAGGGCTGCATCTGGACGGATGACTTGGGGAGGACGCATACTTGCCAAGCATTGCCAAGCACTTTCTGGGCCACCCGGTCAACCTTTGGAACCTGTCTCTAAAAGTAAAAAATGAAAATCCGACGATGCCATGGACACATGGCGAACTGATGTGAGCAAGCTTTCCCAATGTCACTTTCTTTCCGGTCAAGTTCAGAAAGTACGACTGCTTTGGATTCTGGGCCGCAAGTTCTGTCATGGTCATTGAAGCATCTCTATTGACATTGCAGCAAAAAAAATGGGACTCGCATGGGGTTTCTTCGAGGTAAGATCCAGTAGTAAGGTCAAGTTGGCAGCCCTCTCGACAATGAATATCACACACACACCCACACGGGATGTCCCATTCATGAGTCCGAATCTACTCTT